TTCCTTTTAAAATCGTTCTAACTTATAAACTTAGTAAAACAAAGCTCAAGAACTTAACATTCTCTGTGAAAGCAGATAATTTTTCCAACCTGGCTACTGAACAGAAATCTGCCTAAACATGTCATTTGATTATAGAAACAAATGGAGAAAAAAAAACATCAAAGCAGTATACAAGAAAGCTGTAAAAATAAGATGAAGAAACAGGGTAAGGAGCAGCAGCAGGTAGAATTTGTAGTTTCCAACTCACCTCTCTGAAGCCGAAAAGCAAAGTTCCACTAATGTCCACCTGATCCGGAGCTATTCAGAGGAGGGTGTGGGAGTTTTTTTTCTGGGAAAGCCAATCTGGTACGGCCTGCGTCTAGTGGGAAGTTGTCTGTTTGCGGGTGAGAGCACAGTGTTGGCAATGAGGAGGGAGGGAGTGAGAGAGAAAAGGGGACTGAAAAAGAGAATGAAAGGGAGGGTCCTAAATACACAATGGATAGAGAGAAAGAGATCAGGAGGTCTGACTGAGGAACACATAGGAAACATGACTGGCAAACTTCCCAGATCTTGGATTATGGTGTATGTACAAGGTTTCTTTAAGTGCTGCGTAAACCCTGACAGAAGTAAGAAATACAAACCCGCTGACCAAACCTGGTTCCAAACAGGGTCAATATTTGTTGCCTCACTACAAAAAAAGGAACAGATTAATTTTACAGTCAGAGGTGCATGCAAAGTGAGTCAATTTGCAACTGAGATGTGAGCACATAACAACGAGTGCAGCTTTATCTGTGCAGAATAAGATAGCTGAGGGAGTTACTGTTGGGACTGGGAGTTTACTGGGATACAAAATATCTAAAGCAGGTCAAGAATCCCTGCCAGAAATATTTGGCACATTGGAAACAGCTGAAAAATGTTAACTAAAGTATCACATAGCTTTTTAGCACCCCTCTGCTGAAAAATGTTCCAGTAAGTAAACTGATGCCTATCTGTCTCAACAAAGCTCACATTAAAAGCTTCAAAACAGGAACTGGGACAGGACAGAACCTGTAGAGACATACCTTTCCAGAGATTATCTCTTCTTTTAATTATCGTTGGAGTTTAGAGGTAGATTTGAGTGCAAAGTTTACTCGGAAATAAAAAACTCTTAGGTTACAGGATCAACCGTTAAATAAATCTGTTTAAATCTATAGATTCTTCTAACTGCGGCTGATAGGAAAACAGTGACGGGATTATCTGTCTTCTTCTGTTTTCTTTGATCAGGTGCACACTAGCTAATCGCCCATAACTGGTTAACCTCAGCCTACTGTCATCAATTACAAGCTGATCCTTTAATCTGATGATCTTAAAGCTTTGGCACGTGATCATCACCACAACCCTATCGTGCATTAAATGAAGCTGTTCTCTGAAAATGTGCTTCATGGTCATTTTAGTATTATGGTCATAGCAAAATTGTCCTGCATACCATTTAAATATGGGTGGAAATTAATTCTAGTGTAATCTTACACTGAAAATTTGGGGGGAAAATCCTACAGTGTTGCAACTTTTATTGGTTAAAGAAAAGGGCGGTTAGGTAGGTTTGATGATAATAAATCTCCTTTCTGAATTTTTAGTTGTCACTTTCTCATTTTGTTATTCCCCCTTAAGACTTCCCTTCTTTCCTTCTCTTTCCCTATTATCATGTGTTGACTCCACTCTGTGTTTGTGTCCTTACTTCACTTTCCTGCTGCCTTTCATCCTTCCTTCTTTCCTAGTGTCCTTTTTTTGGAGGCTTTAGAATGAAAACCAAACAACCGCAGAATAATCTCTCATAAATCCAGCTGAATATGAGTTTGTTTTTGTTTTTTAAGACAGGCACATGATTGTCAGAAAAAGTAATGGGTTTTTTTCCACATGAAACATATGTAGTAACCAAGTTATACTAAATATAACTAAATTAATTTTATCCTTATTTTAGTGCTGTAATAATATGAGTGGAGGAGTGGTATTAACCTTTATCCAGGGTGAAATATTGAAAGAATGTCAGTTAATAAAGGGGAGATTTCTATACTTTATTGATGGAACTGCCAGTAACAGTAGCAAGGCAGTGGTGTGTATTAGTTTTGGTTGTGACCGGTAAAACATTGGAGCTGTGCAGGCTGTGAACTAACCAGATGCTTTCTGAATTTCACAAGACAGAGAACAGCTGGTTTGATTTCATTAAAGCAAAAATACCACTTGTTTTTCTGCATTAATCTTAATTTCCAACCAGAGCTACTAGCTCTCCACTCATTTACAGAAGGGAGATTCAGAGATTGTTTTCTGTAATAATGCTAACAAAACAATGCAGATGAGGAATTTGCCTTTTACTTGTCCTGTAACAAAAGGTTATTAATGTTAAATCAACAACAGAAACAATGGCTGACATACCTGGGAATTCCTCAATTGCCATTGTTTGGAAGGGGTTTAGATCTAGACACCAGTTTTATTCACCCCAAATTTAACCCAAATATATACCTAGATATATGGCACTTTAAATGTGTTTTATTCTAGAAACACTTAATGTCGAAACCTACCTTAAAGAAATGGTTGAAAAAAAAGTCACCAAAACAACACCAGCAGGTAAAGTCTCAGTCAAGTTTGGCGATATCCTCTTGCTTCTTTGGTAAATGTAGGACAGAAAAGGCCTTTTCCCTGTTCCCTGGACAGTTAATTTACAGTTAAGGTCAGGTATAATCAAACGGTTGTCATGGAGACCTAGTAACCCCACCCCCATAGTTTAACTTCTTTAGAAATCTGCTGGCTGTGCGGATTTCTTTCCTTTTTCCTCTCCTTACTAATCTACCTCACATTTATCTGTAACCTTAATTAAAAGAATGTTTCATTGCATCATTTATTTTACTTATAAATAACATGGAGTAGTAAAACCTGAGCCTGACTGTTTTATACCCACTATATATTAAAGCATAACGTGATATTTGTGATAATTTCACAACATATGTAAAATCTACAAAAAAAGGGTATTTCTTCTAAACAGAACCAATAAAAATATGGGGGAAATATCTATTTTTTTAGATGTGAATTATTTGTTCAATCTGATATCTTGAAAATTGCGATTACATTTTTTTTGGGGGGGGTTGTCGGGTGAGACCATCTAAAATATTAAAAACTACACAACATAGAAACATCAAACCACTAATTACACTAATTACAGAATATACAAAACGAAGGCATCTTATTAAATGTTTTAGAAAAATAAAAATGATTTAAAAGCATCTAATAGGTTTCTTGGACAAATAATTGCACTACGACATATTTTCTTAAATGTAATTCGTGAAACTGAGGAGCTATAAGAATCTAAGCCTCGTGAAGAGTTGCTAACATTTAGTCTTTGAGTCCTTCATGTTTTTACATTAAAGAAAAAGGATGCATCAGATATCAGATACATTTAAACTTTGAGCGCAGTCTTAAATTAAGGTACATACTAATCCAAACTACTTATAGCTTATGTTAAACAACTCTAATATTGATTTATTTTCATAAAGATATATAAATGTTAACAGTAGAACTTGTGGTTTAATTTTTTTTCATGTGTCTTTTTTTAACACTGAATTCAGTCATGTTGCTACTTTGCTGTAAAGTCCTTCCCCATCATGGACAGCCCTAAAACCAATTATCAAAGGTGTTTTCAAGCTACAGGCTTTAGTTTCCACTTGTTAAGGGCTTGTAAATGTCTTTTAATCTTTCCTGTTGAAAAGTTGTATTAGAACAGATAATATTTTGTGGGCTAATTCCTAGATAACCCCAAGCTTTCATCGTACTCTTGATAGGATTGGTTCCTCTTGAACCACAGAAAAACAGAACAGCCTTGGCCTTTCTTTTAGCTGCAGTCCTGAAGCTTCATCTTCTTAAGTACTGAAACCAATTTTATCATTTTTATCTGACTAGATATCAAAGGAAAACCTTGGCCAACATCCATCTGTGGTTGTTTTTATAATTGAATTTCTTCAGTAACTGAAAGTTTGGTCAAACTAAATATAGACATCCCAAGTTCCAAAAACTCATTTCAGGGACATGCCTGCATGTTTTCACTCGCATTAAAAAAACACCATCTTGCATAGTCTAAAATCCGGGATAATTTATCCGACTTGCGGACATCCGTGAAAAACGATCTGTATCAGGGAGTCTCCCGGAACTTCCAGGAGACTTGAGATGTCTGTCAATATTTTAACTCTGTCTGTAGAGCCCTGCTTTAAACAAATAGTTGAAATTATGCTGTAAACATTTCATATTGACCTGAGTTGATCTATAGTGGTGGTTACAACATTTCAGGTTGAACTTTACAAACTTGTCAAAACAGAAACTTGACATCCTTTTGCAACATTAGTTGCAGAAATTTTTTTTCTCAAATGACCCACCCATGCTAAGTAATCATGCAAAGCCTAAACAAAGCAGACATGCAAACTTTTTAAAAACGTACATTGGTACAAAATCATCTCCATTCAATGAGGTATTATAGCTGGGCTGCTTTTGCACACCTCTCTTATACAGCATTTAAATATTCCTGCAGGAACTTAAAATCCTCTGCTCATAGTTCAGATCAAACAATCTCTTAATTTAGTGGCACCATTATCAAGTCTGTGATGAAATAGTTCATTACACCTTGTAGTTAAAGTTCAAATGACTTGGCCGTGAAAAGTAACCTTACAACGTTAACAATTTATGTCTTTTACTATTACAAACCTAAAAGTATTTAAGACGGATCTGAAAAAGTATATCTGTCAATTATAGTACTTTTGGGGTTTGTTTTTTTTTACAAAGAAAAAGAAGAAAATCTGAAAAGTGTGGCTGATGTATTTAACCCCCAATTATGTTGCTGCTGCCTTCAGAGGTCTGAGGACAAAATCACAACTGTTATTCAGTGAAAATCCATTTTTATTGATAACATACAATTACTGACAGAAACCTGGCAAAGAAATATATAAAACCACCCCTTTGATGAGGTGCTACAAGAGCCAGCTACAGGTGCATTGCCTTATCTCTGCCTCACACATATTTCCCTTATTGTGTCAACCAATAAAGAGCACAGAGTGCTGGTAAAGTTGACCCTGGATTTAATTCCATGTCTGCCGCAGAACTGATACAGCACAAATAAAAGAAGCCAAGGAGGCACTGGGAGACGATGAAAAAGGATTTTAAACACGACAGCTTTTTGTGGATTTGTACACGGTGATGGAGGAATTTGCCCAGCTGCTCAGTCTGCTGCTTTGAGGGACTCCTGGTGGAGAAACCATTGAATTACACCCCATCTATCGCTGCTGAGGCCATGCTGTGTACCTGCACTCTGATGAGTTTTAAATGCTTCAATATAATAACGCCATGGGTGGATTTTATCCCACGCAGATTATCCATTATGGGAAGCTGTGTGCTTAAAAATAACAAATGTATAAAGGTTTCAATAAATTTATTAACATTTTACTGAATGCCAAAACAGTGGCAGGAAAAAAAAGATTTCTGTACTTATTTACAAAGATCCAACATTTATGTCAAACACAGAACTAGCTTTCTGACTCAGCAGCTGCACCACAAATTCCTCCAGATATAATCATGATTATTGTACAGGCGAGTTAAAACTAAACAGAAAATCAGTACATAGAAAAATAAATAGTTTGCTAAAATGAAGGTAAAGTTATTTCATCAGTGATTGTACCATTAAAAATGTTTTTTTAAAACAACTTACAGGGCTTTTTTTATCTCTTTACATTAGATTGAGTTTTCATTGTTCAAAGGAATACATAGAATAACTTTTACAGAAAGTACTACCTAAAAATATACAAGCACAGACACAAACATGGGGAGGAAAGGCTAACAGAAGATTAAAAAATAAAAACAGCGCATTGTGTAGTCTTTACATGGAGCTCCTTGGTCTGCAGCTTTCTTTATCGAAATTTAAAAACATTGCTGGGAAGCTTAAGTTAATACAAAAGTTTTCCTATTTTACAATCCAGTTAAAACTTGATTATTTTTAAAATATTCTGAGTAGCAAATTCAAGAAGTTTTCTGTTACTATATATTTTTTCTTTGAAGAAACCAACAAAGAATGAGATACTTAAGGATAAAATAGACAGTTTTGCAAGAAGCACAACAGATGGAGATCTAATGGGGGAGCGAGTACCCAGAGTTCTGCTTTGGACTCTCAGCAGATTAGAGCACAGTAGAAATAAAACAATATTATGTTTATTTACTGAGGCCAGAAAGCCGAGGTGGAGCCCAAGTCCCAAACAAGTCTAAGGCCAAGGCAAAGTTCCAGGTCAGATTGAAAATCTGGATTTCCTTTATGTTTTAAGAAGTAAGCTGATCGAATAGTTAATAAAAAAAAAACTTGTTTATCCTATTCAGGTAATGGCTAAAGAACAGAATAAAACCCAAAAACAAAACAAAACAATGTATAAAAATTAGGAAAAAATAGAAAGCATCTTAAAGATTAAAAGGCTCAAATGCATTTGAAGCCATAATTCATTGATGTTTAAGTCCAAGTTTAGATTTTAATCTTTTGTAATTTTCTCGACGTTGTGTCTGAGTCAAATCCTCACCTCTGCAGACGATGGATGACAAAAGTTTACAGTTATTACCATCACATTAGAATGATCCAACAAAAATACCTGTACATTAATATACTGAAGGTTGCAAATGTTTTACATTTCTTAGATAAGCAGTAATAAAAAACAAAAACAATAATACATGTCAATTTCATAATAAAAATAGACTGCCATTAATAGTGGAAAACAGTGCAAAGAAATCCTGGGGTGCTATTGTTTGCTTGCCTTTTTTTCTCCCAAATACTTTACATAAAAAAAAAAAAAAAACAACTCTAAAACATAGAAAATAAAACAAACTTTGTGGTGTCTGGTGCGCTGGTCCAGACAGGCCTCGTACCACCTCTCCAGTACCTCACTGTTTGGGGCCACAGATGTAGGCGACAGTGTATGATGGTCTGTGTGTGTGTGTGGGTGGGTGTGTGGGTGGGTGTGTGTGGATTGTGAGTGTGCGTTAACAGATTTTGCGTAGTGGTTCTCAACTCCGGTCCTCAAGCTCCGGCACAGTACAGGTTTTTGTTCCAACCAGGTCCTACAAAAACAAATAATTGAGTTTTTAAAAATACTGAAGGTTGAATTTAGACACTTTTAAGCTCACATGGTTTGACATTTACAGCCTGCAAAAAGGTCAAGTTAATATAGGATTAAGGCCAAGCATATTTGCCATCAGTAACAGTGAGACCAACAGAAACAATGAGGACAGAATAACGTACAGCTTAGAGACCCGAGGTTGGAACAAAAACCCACTGATATGGCCGCAAATGGGAGCGAGCACCCTCATGGGACACGTCGATGTTGGCTCGAATTGGTGATCTGTGGTGAACACGCAGGCAAGCAGCATCGTTAGCGCTCCTTTAAGAGGACTGGTCAGAGCCAAGAGGGAGGAGGAGCACCACTAGGTAAGAGCAACAGTGTTGAGGAGATTCAGCTGAGTTTCCTTCCAGTTTCAGCAATGACCCCATCAGTCCATCAGCTCCAGTGTCTCTATCCGTCTCTGCTCTAACAGAGATTGGACAGTTTAACATCAATTCAAAACGAGCTCAACTCGTCCCTCCCCGATCCATTCTGGTGGTTTCAAAGTTGATTAAGGATCCCAGTGGTTTTTAACGTTGAATTTCACATCTGGCATCGACCATAGCATTCTACTGAGATGACTGGGAGTTGTCACTCTTGGCCTCCTGACTGGAGGGGGGTTTGTTGTTCCAGGGGGAGTGACCCCCTAGTGCAGGCGAGCTGGTGAAACTGTCCTCATCCTCCAGGCCGTTGGCCCCATCGAACTGCGTGTTCTCCAGCCGTGTGATCAGACGCTCGTCTTCGTCACCAAATTCCCCTCCCATCAGTGTGGGCTCTCCCACCATCATCACATCCTAAAGGGGACAGCAAGGGCCGGTACACATTATCCCCATAATACAGGGGGGAGGGGGTTGCTCGCGCAATGTATGGCTGTACGACGACTGATGTAGTATTTTTCTCCCACATGGTCAAGGTGCAAACCAGCTGGGGTGATTTTCAAAAACAACTGATCTCACTGAGAAAAATGCATCCTATAAGCCCAGCTTTATAAAAACAATTAAATATTTATGGATTCACCCATTATTAAACTTAGATTTTGTTCAGGCATCTTCCCTGACAGCTCAGTAGCCCAGACTTTCCAATGAACCAGGCTTGAGGAGTGCCTCCTACTGGCCCCAGCTGGGCATCCCTGATCCTTGAGTGCTTCATCACAGGGCGGCGGGGGGAGGGGGGGTTCTTTCCACCTCGGGTCTCATTAGCTCAAGCAACCATGTTAATAAAGACAGCAGTTCTGTGTGAATATAGTGCTCTAAATGGAGGTAACCAACACAAAATCAAACCGTCCCAATGAAAAAACACAGCTTGGTTTTTCTCCAAAATGCCCAGAAATACATTTTGTGTTGATCGTAAACTAAAAATCTGTGGCACCAGAGGACCAGGGACCGCCCCTTACTGGTAACCATGAAAGGTCTATGATGGCACTTAATTTCTATAGATTTCGCAAATGAAAACATATCCCTAAACCCTAATGGAATCTAAACCAAATTTAGAAATCCCCGACCCATTTCTTAATTGATTTGATAACTTCTCTGTTTTTTCCTCCTTTTTTTTTTTTTTTTTACTGTCATCATCAGCTGTAAATCAGCCAGGAAGAAGTAATGCTTACAGGTACCTGGCTGGAGAGGGAGAAGCTGTTGGCCGGACTCTTCTTTTTGCTGCTGTTGTTGTTATTGCCTCCTCCACCGGAGCTCACGTTGCTTCCACCAGAAACTTTCCTTTTCCGTCGCTTGTTTGGAGCTTGTCTTGCTGGCTCAGCTGCACAAAGATTACAAAAGGTTTGATTAGAAAGGATCTGAGCCTCAGAAACTCCAGCATCCTGCTCATTTTAACAAATCTTTTGTTTGTTATATAGAAATGATAAAATAATAAAACTTCTTATCACCTTAACCTTCTTATCTTAGAACAATAATCATCAGATTAACCCAACTGAGTTGTTCAGCAGGTACAACAATAAACATGTTTGCATAATGTTTTCTTCTACCCTCCAATAAGGTTCTGCATTGTTGGTCTACAACAAAAAAATCCAAATAAAACACATTTAAGTTTGTGAGTTTAATGCAGGATAATAAGAGAAGACTCATGGAATAATGCACTGCATTGTGATGGTGCTCCTACTTTGACTTATGAATGAAGAAACACTTTATTATGAACTTAAACAGAAGTGCACTTAGCAGTTACCTGGAGGCGCTACCATCCTTTGCCACTTTTGGAAAAGGCAGGTTTTCAGACAGTCTCTTGGACTCAAACTGTAAGTCTTGTGTCTGGACATCAACTCCTGCATTGGCTCCAATATCACACATAACTACAAAGATATAAATAGGTCAAGAAAATATGTTATAAAACAATCAATTGAGTAAGAAAATATAAATAAAAGGGCCTAAAGAAAGCCTATCATACACGGAGGTAGTTGAGCGTCGAGTTGGACAGCCCACACCTGGTGATGTTTTTAGCCAACTGATCGAGCATCTGAGGATCCTTAGGGGTAAAGATAAAAAAGGTTAGGGAATCAGAGCACTTAAAACATGCAGATTTACATCACTTGGATTTGGTTTATCACTTACATGCATAGCCAAAATGCTTCTTGGTAAAACCTCTCTGTGTTGCCTTATGCTGAAGTGCCATGTCTTGATCCTCATCATGTCATCAAACATGAATTCTAGATACAGGCGGCCCTCAACACACACCTAATACAGAGGAGACAAGGTCAAAGGAACGGTGGTGGGGGCCTTTTTTCTTTAATCTGGTAGGACATGCATGCAGAAGAGCTCACCTGTGTAAACATGGGTTTGCCATTCTGGGTCACCATGGTGCACTGGTCACAGTCGAGGGACACAAAATTACTGTGAAAAGACTCCTTTGGATGCTTCAAAACGTAAAACAGCTCTGTTGCACCTCCCTCAAAAATACTCCTGAAGTATCGAGGAATCAGCGTCCTGCCAATAGCTGCAAACAAATAAAAAAAATTAACAAAGAAGCAAATAAAAAAAAAGGAGACGGGACATCAAGAAAGCTAAATGTAGATATCAGCAGCAGTAAATAGTTCCTCACTGTATCGTTTAGGACCATCTTCCAAACAGAAGGTAACTGTAAGCATGGCATCATCCTCAAAAAACTCTGTGGTGAAGGCATCCCACCAGAGGTTGTCACAGTCCTGTCAGCAGAGGAACAAAAACATTGAACTTTGCTTCATTTCGCTAAAAAGAAATATTTAATTTATATCAAAATAATGTGCTTAGAACTCACTAAATACACCCAAACATTAGTTTCAAATTAACCTAATAAATCCTCTAATCTTCCTCTTAACAATTTTCTTCTCACAAACAGTTTTATTTTTTTGTGCAATACTTACAAAAAGCTGATTAAAATAAGGAAAGTTGAAATATAAAGACATTGATGGGTGTAAAACTGGTTAAAATCCTAAAAATGTACAGCAGTTAACTTAAACTTGCTTCTTCTGTGATACAGATTAAAAGCATAAAATGTATAAATGTAAAGTTCAAAGCTCACAGACTACAGATGCAAGAAATATATGGAAAGCCAGCAATGTTTTAACTCTTAACCATCAGTCCATCATCGCATCATGTGGGAATTAATTCATCTTATTTGATTTTAATTCTTAGTAATCTTTTCTCGATACCACTGTGATGCCCCCCCCTTTCATCTACAGACTGAATTTTCTTGCAACTGAAGTAAATGAATGTGAATGAACTCAACTTGCCTTAAAAAAAAAAAAAAAAAAAAGAGGAAAATTTATTTTGTCTAGAACATAAAAAGCCTCTTTCTTTACAGTATTGCTAGAGCCATCACTCACCTCTGTCCAATTCTGTAATCTTTTGTTTAGCTCATATATCCGGTAATCTGTCTGGTTCCCATACGGTGTGGGTCTCCTAAAAACAAAAAGATCAAAGTTGACCAAATACAAAGTTAAACAAAAAAAAAACATTATCAATTGTGTTTAGCTAAGAAAAAAACTGTAGTCTATACTGCAAAAACTAGGACCAAATCAGATATCATGGTAAGATGTTCTACTCCAGAAAATGTTCCTTATAGGATACTAGAACATTTTGATTAGACTCTGAACTGTGGGTGAGAGGACCCCAACATGCCTGACTGGTAGAATATTCAAAGTAGGGCTGCAGCTGATGATCATTCTGCAAATCGGTTAATCGGATCATAAAATAATTTTTGTAAAATCAAACCAAGTGAAAATAAAGCTTTTTCACTTGAGGAGTTCTGGTTAGAGCATATTGACAGACGAAAAATATTTTTATGTTAAATGCAAAATGTTTGTTGTTGTTTTTTTTTTTAAACACACAATGTTGGTATAATTACTGCTCTAAAATGGTCACTCTGTCAGCTAAAGGAACATTTTAGAGCCACTACACTCCACTTAATGACTAATCGATTTCTAAATTAGTTGACGATTATTT